ACCAAACAGGACAGACCCCTAAAGAAAATCATCAACACATATCATAGTCAAACTTTCCCAAAAAAAGACAAGGGAAGAATCTGGAGAGCAGCTCAGGAAAATGGGAAGTCACCCACAAAGGAGAACCAATACTATTAAGCTCTGATTTCTCAACAGAAACCATGTAGGCAAGAAGGTAATAGGATGATGATACATATAAAATTCTAAAGAAAAAAATTACCAACCAAGAATCATATGCCCAACAAAATTGCCCCTTAAATACAATGGTAACATTAGAACATTTCTAGATAAACAGAAATTACAGGAATTTGTAAAAAACCAGACCAACCTTGCAAGCAATACTAAAAGGAGTTCTTTGGACAGAGAACCAACAACCTGAGACTAACATATATATGACGGAGTCCTGGTGTGGCACTGGGGGATACTGCACTGGACTGCAATGTCAGTTTGAACTACAAGGTTAGCAAGTCAAGATCACCAGCTGTGCCTCAGAAATCCTATATAAGTTCACTATGGGTTGGAACCAACTCAGTGGCTCTAAACAAACAACAACATACATGACACCACTACCCAGAAGTCAATTCAGATACAGAATTATCCAAAGTAAAACAAATCTACCAGACTAAAAATAAGAACTAGATATATCGGTTTGTAACAAAGACAATTATAAAATAAAAAGAGGGAATAGTGTCGTTATAGAACCTCCAAATGGAGAGGAAGCTAAGCTTCAAGATAGAATAGACTGTTTTAAACTTGGGAATGAATACATACATGTGTCACTTGGATGAAGGGAAAGGCAATTAAGAGGGAGGTTTGGCCCAAAAGAAAAAAAAAGTAGGCACATGAAGAGAAGAAGAAAAGCAAGAATTAAAGGAACAAAGGTAAATATTACACATACAGTTCTGCAATAACAGTGATCTACAAGTAGATGCATGAATAGACTTGCACAAACAGGTATGGGAGGGAGAGTAGGAGTATATTAGCAAACATATAAGTTTGACAGAGGATATTTGTACCTGAGTATTTACCTTTACTACAAATATATCTCCGTGATTGTGGTGAAGGATACAGGGGACAGCGTTATACATACTTCTTAGATACATCCAGAAACTCGAAAGGAATGAGTCACTGGAACTGACGGATACTAGGTTAATTGATAAGGCATGATCCAAGGACAATGCTACTCATCCTACTTTGGTGAGTGGTAACTGAGGTCTTAAAAACTTGTGAACAGCCATCTAAGGTTCAACTATGGGTCTTTTCTCTCTATCTGGAGGAAACAAAATTGAGCAATTACAAGAACATAAGGATTCTCCATAAGTAGTGGTTTGAAGACACATGGAAACAATTAGTCCAATGCCTAATGGACCACACAAACATCAGTCTCCATGACCCTAAGATCAGAACTAAATGGTGCCTAGCTATTACTACCAACAGCTATGAGGGGTGTCACATTAGAAGGTCCTGGGAAGACTAGAGTAAATGTACAACAATACTCAAAATCATTAAAAAGACCAGGCTTATTGGTTAGATGGAGATTGGTGGAACCCCTAAGACTAGCATCCTTGGTCCCCCTTCAGGTCTGGAACTGAACTCACCCATGTGGCTCAATTTTCAGCCACACGGTGGACAGGTCTATTAAGGGAACAGCAACACTAGTGAGGTATACACACTTTAGAATAATCAAGCATTTGAGATCAAAAGGGCAGCATTTACCCAAGGAATTTATCCAGCATTCAGAAGGGTCAGAAAAGGAGGAGGAGTGAAGGTGAGAGGCACTGGAAGTAGGATAAGCGGTTACACAGAGGGGACAGCATCGTCAAGATGAAACAATATATATGAATTGTTGAGTGTACAACTGATGAACTGCTCTGTACACCTTTACCCAATTCACAATGAAAATGAAGAAATACAAAATCTGAACCAAGTGACAGTTTAACAGGTGAATTCAAAGGAACACAATCTCTTCCAGAGACAGGAAAAATTCATAAAATTGAGCAATTACAAAAACATAAGGATTCTGCATAAGTAGTAGTTTATCATGTTAAAAGATTAAAGAAAAGCTGTGTAATTAAAGGTGAAGATTATCCTATTTTCCAAGAAAACTTATAAGATAAACAAGCACATTTCATTATACTCAATTTTATTGGGCTACATCATTATAAAACATACATGATAGATCATATAAATAACTACAACAATAACTAATATAGCACTTGATAGCTTACAAATCAGCTTTGAAATCATTATCTACCTAATTCTAACCACTCCCAAGTAGGTTATTACATTTAAAATATATAATGTCATTAAATGAGGATTAAAAAGGTTAAAATGATTTGTTCCAGATACATTTGTTCAAATTTTGTTGACGTTCTATATCATATGTTAAATACCAAATTAAAGTCAACAGATATATACATTTAGAAAATATAAAAAAATGATGAAGCCCATCTCCAGTGGTTCACATACACCCTTGGAACAAAGACACAAATTTAAATATTAACCCGATAGTTTATATTCTCAGTCATTAGCTATCTTTCCTTTTCAAATCTTTGCCACTAAATAGTGGTGTTTCCGCTGCTTAAAACTATAGTTCTTTCACAGTTTTTAGAATTAGAATGGCAGTTTTTAATCTATAAATTTGGCAATTTATTTGGGGGGAACATTCTTCTTGGTACTTAATCCTGGTTATAAATGACCCCTTGTGTGCACAAACCTTTGGGTTGTATTTGACACAACTTGATGTGCCATTTTGACCTTCAGTATTAACTAAAAACCTGGACATTATATATAAAAACAAACATGAGAATCCAGTAGGTGGGGAGAAGGCAGACCAGCTAGGGATTTTAGAATCTGAGGAACAACACAACAATGAGTTCCTTGGGGCTTCCTTTTTGCCTTGCACATCCCAGACTAAAGAAATGCTTAAGAACCCTACAATCCAAAGATGACAACAGGCACATATGGGGGGGGGGGGGGGGGGGGGTGGGTGGGGGGTGGGGAGTATGACAAAAAACAAGTACTCTTTCTAGCCAGGAGACCAGGAAAGGGGCAGCCTATCAAGACAGAACCTTTTAGACAATAACCTACTCCAACTAAAGATAAAACTGGTCCTATTCCCACCAACAAAGGTCAAATGACAATCCACTTTGATCTTCAGTCAGGTGTGACAAGGCTGCTCAATCACCTCCCCTCCCCATAAGAAAGCATTCCAGGCAGTAACAAAATGCACGCACTCCTCCTATCCCCACAGTGTCAATGGAAAACATGTGAGGAGACTAGATTTCCAACCCCACCAAGAAATAATGAGGCACCCCTTTCCTTCCCCACTGGTGTCAGTGGAGGCCTGGTGAGAATTTCATTATTGCCCAGCTATAATGAGGCCCACCTCACAAATGTGTTAGTGGTGGAGGCCAGGTAGGGAAATTTAAATAGGATCCAGAATATTACATAATACCAAAATGCTCAGATTTTGATTGAAAATCATTTCTCACACCAAGAACCAGAAAAAAGCCTCAAATTAAATGTGAAGACAAGCCATAGACTGTAGCACTAAGATGACACTGAATTATTCGACAAGGATTTTAGATCAATTATCATAAAAATGCTTCAGTGAGCACTTAAACATGCTGGAAGCAAATATAAAAAGAAAAGTCTCAGCAAGGAAATAGAACATAGAATCAAATAAAAGTAAAATATGGATCCATAATAAAAACTCAACGAGCTCAACAGCAGAATGGAGGGGGCACAGGAAAGAAACAGTGAACACGAAGACAGAACAATAGAAATTATCCAGTGTGAACAACGTAGAGAAAAATGACTGGGGTAAAAAAAAAAACAACAAAGAAATTATAGCTGAAAATTCCCCAAATTTGGCAAAAACAAAAGCCACTAGAGATTAGATGAGCAAACCTAAAACATGATAAACCCAAAGAAATTCACACCAAGACAAACAGAATGAAAACAAACTTAAGAAAACTAAAAATATTGCATTGAAATATTGTTTCTAATAAATTTCCAAGTTTCTATGGAAAAACATATACAAAGATATCATTTACCTTTACTTAAAAGTAAAATGATGAGAAGCTAGAATCTCCAAGTCTTTTCAAGATTTCTAGGACATAGTATGTACTGTCACTTCAAATCGATCACTTCAAGTTTACAGCGATGGTATTTTACTGTATGAAAAAGGTATTAACAATATACAGCTAAGGTTAAGTCTTTATAAACACATTCTCTGGTAACTTCAAATTTCAAAGGTCCTTTCTGTATGCTCCCTTTCTAAACTGTAGGTTATGACCCTTAGAGTTAAAAGAGATACTTAGTAGGTCATACACTCAATATGCTCTAAAAGAGAAAGGGTGAAGCAGAACCCAACGCAAAATTCATTTGCTTCAATGTAAAGCTACCTGCAAATGTTGTGACTAATTCTGCCCACTGACAAATCTAATATTTGTCCTGTTTGCAAGTACTCAGTCTCAGTTTTACTTCACTCAACCTATCTTGGGTTTGCTCCCCCAGCTATTTTTCATATGTCCTTATGTTCCTATACTCAAGACTAAAGACAATTCCCATCCACCAATTCTGACCCTGGACAAACTTACCTGTGATTTCTACACCTCTTATTTCTACAACTGCAATTCATCTAAAGCACCACTTGTTTAAAACTTCATGCCCTGAGCACTATTAGATGACCTGGCACAGCCAAGATGTTCTCTTCCTACCACGGCACACCCTATTTCTCTGTCAAGGATTTGGTAGCTTACATACAATTACGGTGCTAGAAATAATTTTCCATTTTTCCCTAGCAAATACACTAAATTCTCCATTAGGACATTTTTTTAAATGCCAAACCTCTTTCATTCTAAGTAAGCTATATCCCATATCAACAATGACTTCATAAATTTTTTTGTAGCACAGACTTAAATTTCCTCATAGCCTTCACAGCATGTAGAGTAAATGTTTCATATGTTTTGAATGCATTGTATTTGCAGTCATCGTTATCCAGTATGAATTCTCGTTTGTTGGCCAAAGGCTAAGTGTTCACTAAAGGCATTCCCATATCCTTTAGTTTTCCCTTCAGCATGAGTTTTCCGATGTTGAGAAAGGGATGAACTCTGGCTGAAGGCTTTCCCACATTCCTTACATTTGTAGGGTTTTTCTCCAGTGTGAGTTTTCTGGTGTTTGGTAAGAGATGAACTCTGGCTGAAAGCTTTCTCACAGTCCTTACACTTGTAAGGTTTCTCTCCAGTGTGTGTTCTCTGATGACGGATAAGGGCTGAACGGTCACTGAAAGCTTTGGCACAATCATTGCATTTATAGGGTTTCTCCCCAGTGTGAGTTCTCTGGTGCTGAGTCAAGGCTGAACAGTAACCAAAGGCTTTCCCACATTCATTACATTCATAAGGCCTCTCTCCAGTGTGCGTTCTCTGATGCTGAATAAGGCCTGAACGGTCACTGAAGGCTTTCCCACATTCATTACATTTATAAGGTTTCTCTCCAGTGTGAATGACCTGATGCTGGGTAAGGAAGGTGCTTTGGCTGAAGGCCTTCCCACATTCGTTACATTCATAAGGTTTCTCTCCAGTATGAATTCGCTGATGTTGAGTGAGGTATGAACTCTGATTAAATGCCTTCCCACATTCATTACATTCATAAGGCTTCTCTCCAGTATGAATTATATGATGCCGAATAAGGGCTGAGCGGTGACTAAAGGCTTTCCCACACTCATGACATTCATAGGGTTTCTCTCCAGTGTGAATTCGCTGGTGCAGTGTAAGGTGTATGCTCTGGCTAAAGGCTTTACCACATTCGTTACATTCATAAGGTTTCTCTCCTGTGTGAATTCTCTGATGCAAGACAAAAGCTGAGTAGTAACTGAAGGCTTTCTCACACTCATTACACTTCCAAGGTTTCTTTCCAGCATAAATTCTCTCATGCTTAATTAAATCTGAATTTTGTTTTAAGTTCTTCTCAAGTGACTCACAATTATGTAGTCTCTCTCCTTGTTGTTGAGCAAGTAAAGACCTTCGACTAAAATTTCTTCCAAATTCACCACACTGGTAACTTCTTTCAACAGATTTCTTCTGAGTGACAACCTCTTTTATTAAATGTTCCTCATGGTTTTCCTGACTGTCTAAAGAATCTTCACATTCACTGGAACCTTCCTTTGGGAATCTTTCTGTTAACACACCAGGGGTTGATTCCTCTTCAAAAACGTCATGATCTGGAGTCAGCTCCTTGCTTTCTGGCCTTGTCTCCCAGTCTGCGAGAAATAAAAATACCTATGTACCATTTTCTAAACTGAGAAAAAGATAAAAAAAAAAAAACAATGTATACAGGGAGCACATGAACCTGAACACTCTTAAAAAGTAGCCTTGCAATCTTGAGACAAGATAAGAGAAAGAGAGATAAGTAAGCAAAAAATTACAATTGAAAGGAAAGGATAAGTTGTACTGAGTATTTCTCTACCCAGAAGAGTAGGAAATAAGAATAGAGAATAAGGATAAGCAGAAGTGATATAGGAAACAGTAGATTAAAAAAACAGGGTTTTGGGGAGCTGGGTTTGGAATTGTTGTTATTGAAGTACCATCAAGTCGGTTCTGACCCATAGCAACCCTGAATAAGGTTTCCAAGGAGGGGCTGGTGAGCTTGAACCACCGACCTTGCAGTTCAAACGGCTTTGAAGTCTGGTGCCTTAACCCACAGCGCCACACTGGGACTCTGGGTTTGGAATTACAGGAAGATGATCTCCTAGGGATTGCCCACTGTTACCACCTCACCAGAAGCTCATCATTTCATGCCTTGAAAATTACCATTTTTAGCTGATCTCCTTGCCACCAAATTCTTCCCCATCCACTATGCCACAATATTGCTGAGAGACTAACTAGCCTTTCCAAGCCATCCCTCTCATAATACACAAACATCTTAACTCTACTACTGTCTTTAGGATAAGACGCAAATCCCAGAAGCTGCCATTCAAGTGGTTCATATCTACAAATTATCACAGAGCTTAGTAATTATAAAGCATTAACATCCGATTGCTTGCCATCACCCCAACCTTGGCAAACTAGACAAAGTGAAATACTTATAGAATCACTTTTTTAAAAAATGAATAGTATGTATGGAAGGAAGGTCAAAGCCTACATACTCAGATTGATTTCCATCTTATCAGGGTACCTGACCCAAGATCCTGTTATTCTTAAAGTTTAGAGAAAACAACTTTAATGCTGAAAATGTTTATATACTTTCAGGCTTAGATGATCTTTAATATTCATCCCAACCATAAACCTGTATGAAATAAATCAATTTCTCAACTACATTATATTCAAGCAAGAGCCTGGTCTCTTAAAGTATGAATAAGTAGAAATCAGTACAGATGAACTGTACTGATTTTAGCTCAGACTTCTAGCACCTTCCTTACCCAGCATGTCAGGTCATTCACACTGGAGAGAAACCTTATTAAATGTAATGAATGTGGGAAAGCCTTCAGTGACCGTTCAGAGGAGTAGAATATTTAAAGTACCAAGTATTCTTGGAGAAAATATTGTTAATGAAAGGCAATAAGGGACTTGCAGTCTTGTGTTAATTACATCTTTTAGCTGATGGAGAACAGAGAGGGCAAATAGGTTAGACAGGTAGGCCAACGGAAACTTGAGAAAAAAGCAAGAAGAAAATATAAAATGGTAGTGGAATGCAAAGGTTGGGAGCAAAGAGGAAGGATCAGTATTTGGAAAATATGACCTCGGTGATAGAAATGAACCTGGAGATTGCATGAAAGAATTCTTCAAAACCAAAGATTTGTTCATTTCAAATACCTTCTTTAGATAGCATAAGAAACCTCACCATATACATAGAAATCAAATCGACTACATCTGTGGAAAGAGACAATTGAAAAGCTCCATATCATCAGTCAAAACAAGGCCAGGGGCAGATTGTGGAACAGACCATCAGTTGCTCATATGCAAATTCAAACTGAAGCTGAAGAAAGTGAAAAAAGTCCACAAGAACCAAAATATGACCTTGATATATCCCAACTGAATTTAGAGATCATCTGAAGAATAGATTTTGATACACGAAACACGGAAGACCAAAGACCAGAAGCGTTGTGGGATGACATCAAGAACATCATACAGGTAGAAAGCAAAAAGTCATTAAGAAGACAAGAAAGGAAAAGGTCAAAATGGATGTCAGAAGAGGCACTGAAACGTGCTCTCCAGGGTAGAGATGAGGAGGTCCAAGAGCTGAACAGAAAATTTCAAAGATCAGCTAAAGAAGATAAAGCCAAATATTATAACAAAATGTTCAAATATCTGGAGTCAGAAAACCAAAAAGGAAGAAATCGCTCAGCATTTCTCAAGCTGGGGGAACTGAAGAAAAAATTCAAGCCTCAACTTTTGTTATTGAAGGATTCTCTGGACAAATTATTGAATGATGCAGAAAGCATCAAAAGAAGATGGAAGGAATACACAGAGTCACTGTACCAAAAGGAAATGGTTGATGTTCAACTGTTTCAAG